TTGTAAATAGCTCTTATATAGCTCTTTAGCCAATTTATCCGAATTTGAATAAATAACGACAATATTATCAAATTCGACTATTAATCTATTTACCGTTTGTAATATGATGAGACCAAATTTATTCGCTGACTCTTGCATAAATATACATATAGAATACATATAGGAGCAACTTCTTTGATACAGTAAAATTATATTTTGCCGAAATACGTATGAGAATGCGTAATTTTATTCAAATTGCGCTTCTTTACGAGTATTATTTTTATATTTTTGAAGTCAAGAGATCTATTACATGTAGTTTAATAATTACATTCTATTTGATCAATATTAATAATAAAGTTCAAGTTAAAATCAAGTATTATTTTCCTCTTTTGTGCCTGGAATCTTTCTGCTGCTTATATAGTTCTTGTAGAGTTGCGACTTTTCTGTGGCTGATATATTTTATTATTTTTCATTGCTTTATTTTATGTTCCTGCTTAATTATTTGTACAATGGACTAGCTCGGGAAGAAAAAGTATTCGACTGGAAAGGAGCAGTAGCTGTCATTACTTATTGTTGTAAAGTCTCTCTCTCTCCTTATGATTACCTATAAATATTTATTATATACAGGGTATCTCAAAAGTTTGGACACAGTCGAATATCTCAGAAACAGTGCATTAAAAAAAAAATTATTTAGATGAAAATTGTAAGGTTTAGAAAGTTGCGTTTAATGGCGATGTATATTTGACCTTGGATGGTGTCTCTAAGATCAGAACAAGGTCCCTTGGAATTTTTTAAATGGAATCCTCTATTTTTTATTATATATTGTTGTAGCTTATCTTGAGAGCTTTTCAAAACACTATAATAACGTATTTTTTCATTAAGTATTAGGATCTTGAATAAGTTCTCACTGATTTTTCGTGAAAATTAATGCTTTATTTAAAAAAAGTCGTAAAAAATATGTCACTGAAAGTTATGTCCATCGCTAGCCACTACTTTTTCTCAACCTTCTGGCAGCATTTAAATTCCACGTCGGAAAAACGACACGTCTTTTAAGGCTATCCAAGAGTCGACCCATTTTTTGGCATCTTCATAAGAATGGAAGTGCTGCTCAGCCAGGTCATGTGCCATCGATCGGAACAAGTGATAGTCGGAAGGGGCAATGTCTGGTGAATACGGCGGGTGGGGTAGGACTTCCCATTTAAGCGGTTCCAAGTAGGTTTTCACCGGTTGTGCAACATGTGGCCGAGCGTTGTCATATTGCAAAATCACTTTGTCGTATAGCTCGTATAGCGGCCGTTTTTCCTTCAATGCTCGGCTCAAACGCATCAATTGTAGTCGATAGCGATCTCCCGTGATGGTTCAATCGGTTTGAGCAGCTCATAATAAACTATACCCAGCTGATCCCACCAAATGCAGAGCAGAAGCTTCGAACCATGGATATTCGGCTTCGCCGACGATGTTGATGCATGGCCGTGTTTATCCCACGATTTTTTACGCTTAGAGTTATCGTAGTATATCTACTTTTCATCGCCAGTCACGATACGATGCAAAAAACCTTTCCTTTTCTGCCGTTGAAGTAGCTGTTCACACGTGAAAAGACGCCGTTCGACGTCTCTTGGCTTCAACTCGTATGGCACCCAATGTCCTTGCTTCTGAATCATTCCTAATACTTTCAAACGTTTCGAAACTGTTGTGTGATCAACTCCTAATGATTCTGCAAGTTCAGCTAGCGTCTGACATGAGTCTTCATGAAGTAATTCTTCGTCTTCAAACTTTTTCGGTGCGCCAGAGCGTTCTTTATCTTTAACATCAAAATTATTATTTTTGAAGCGTCTAAACCAATCTCTGCATGTTGTTTCCGACAGAACATGGTCGCCGTAAGTCTCAACAAGAATTCTGTGTGCTTCAGCTGCAAATTTTTTTTTAATAAAGTAATGCAGTAAAATTCCCCGCAAATACTCTTTTTTTTGGCGTGAAACTCGACATGTTTAACACTATGAAAAAAGAAGTTGTTTACACTTCGGCCAAATGACACGCTGAATTTTAAGCTTGTAGTATTTCCTTATAGATGCGTTACCATTTTAAACTACACGCACGCAGTTCTGGTAACGCCATATATTGGAAAACAGCGAGAACTTAAGGTCCTGGTATTTTTTGAGTAATGAAACTTGAAAATTACAGTACCGCCAGTATTAACAAATCCAAAGTATATCACGCGGAGGTAGCTCGGTTGAATTTACACCTCTTTCGTGTATATGTGTGTGTGTGTGTGTGTGTGTATGTGCATGTGACGATCCTCAGTTCTTAAAGCCTTTTCTTTATCTATAGGTTTTTAATCTGTTCTTTAATTTATCATCACCGAATACTTATAAACATCCACTCAATTACTCATGCATCCATTTATGTACATACTCGCATACACGCACGCACACTAACATATACCCACACTTATACACACTCTCACCCACACCCACGCCATATCCACCCACCCTCACACGCAACACGCACATCCACACACGTACACACACGCGCGCGCGCGCGCACACTGCTCGTTCGCCCGTGCGCTTACCCGTCCCACAGTGTGCCAAAAAGCACATTTGGTGGATAAAATTCTACTTACATCACAAATCTGCATCTATTTTGATGAAACTTTTTTTTAAATTCTCGTGAATAGTTCTACCATAATGTCTCACTGTAAAAAATAAGTAAACATAACCCCAAAAAATAATTCTAAACTGCATTACTTGTTACCCTTAATTACCTCAAACTTTATAACACCATGGTCTTATAAAACTTCATCATTGCAAATCTTAATTTCATAACTCCTAAATCTGATTACCCACGAGTTAAAAATCCCATAACCCTAAACTTCATAACCCCAAACTCTATAACCGGTTTTTAACTCGGTTTGAGGTAATTAGGGGTAACAAATAATGGAGTTTAGGATTATTTTTTGAGGTTATGTTTAGTTTTTTTAAATTTTTAGCAGTAAGATATTATGATAGAATTATTCACGAGTATTTTAAAAAAAGTTTCATCAAAATCGATGCAGATTTGTGATGTAGGCAGAATTTTGCCCAACAAATATGCCTTTTGGCATACTGTGCGCCCGCCCGGGCGGGCTCGCGGTATGTGTATGTGTTCCTATTATATTTGCATGATTTAACAATCACCCATGTAATTTTACGACACTACAAAAATTAATGTGTGGGAGAAATTATATTCTATTTATAGAATTTCAAATTTATAATAAGAACACATACACACACCGCAAGCGGGCGAGCAGTGTGTGTATGTGTGCTAGGGGCAGACACATTCCTATCCTACAAATTCGATGTTTTTATACATATGGTGTCCAAAAATTACATTCATTTTATGCAAATTCTTTTGTTAATAACTTTTTAACGAACAACGAGCGACGGCTAAAACCTTCAGAAGGTCATTTAGGAAAGTGACCTCTATAACATATGTCAAGGTCAAGATCATTGGAGCAGCCTCCCCTAAACAGGAGTTTTACCAAGTACTCTGCCGTCTAAAGCGGAGAGGACTCACCAAAATTACGACGTCGCGAATCGGGCGCTGTCAAGCCACAAGCGGCGGCGATCCCTCCGGATTCACACCAACGAAAAAAAGAGGTCAACGGGCTTACGTCCACAGTAGTCAGGTCACTCGGCTAGTGGATGGCACATCCTTCACAATCGCCATCACTATCTTGAGAGCTCCCGTCGTTGAGACCGGGTTTTATCCTTAGATTGAATCGTTCTTTGCGAAAGCTTGCGGCCTCTGATTGATTGGTTTTAGAGCCGTTTCCTTTAGATTTTCTTCTTGTTTTGGATAGAACCTCTCTGCTCTTTATTTCGGTAGCTTGTGGAATTGTTATTTTGTCCTTGGGTTATTCTCTTCGGCAGCCGTTGTTTTTCGTCGACTCCTGAATCTCGCGGTGTTTTTGCTTGGTTCGAAGGACGCTCTGGGTCACAGAGGATTCACTGGCCGACGTTGCGCATCAGCCGCGCCTGTCTTCCGCTCGTCTGCGGTGTCAGTCGACTTCATCCTCGTGGCTTCTTCGTGGCAGCTCGTGGTCGGTTCACTTCGGCAGCTGATTACGATGTCCCCAGTTCGTCTTCCGACAGCCTTTTGGTTTTGACTATCACAATGTAGTCGTAATAGGCCCATCCAATCTGTCTATGATTACTATTACGAATTATAGAAACGGTTCACCTGAAAGGTCCGGCCTCGAACCTGGTCTTCTTTTGGCCTTTCTTCTTTTGGAGCGGCAGTACAATCTTCCCGTTGTTGTAGATCTTCTCCTCTTGTCTTGTCCTGACGATCGCCCGCTGTACGGCCAGGACGCGACATCTACCGTTATCCAGAAAGCATTTTTCGGCTTCCTTTACATTATTTAAGTGACAGGCGATTTCTAAAAAATTGTCACGTCACAATACATACATACATGAAAGAGGTGTAAATCCGACCGAGCAACCTCCGCGTGGTATACCTTGGGTAATACTAATGTCGGCGATACTGTAACTTTCAAGTTTCATTACTCAAAAGTACTTAATGAAAAAATACGTTATTATAGTGTTTTGGAAAACTTTCAAAATAAGCTACAAGAATATGCAGTAAAAAATAGAGGATTCCATTTAAAAAATTCAAGAGGATCTTGTTCTAACCTTGGAGACACCAATCAAGATCAAATAGATATTACTATTAAATGCAACTTTTTAAACCTTACAACTTTCCTCTAAATAATTTTTTTCTAAAATACACTGTTTCTGAGATATTCGACTGCGTCCAGACTTCTGGGACCCTGTATTACGATATATATACATATGAAATTCTTGAGCATTTGTGTTATTGTACCTGCTTGCAACAGTTTCTCGCTTCTTTGAAATGTCCGAAAGTTTCAGAATCGATAGCTTGCAGTTTGTCAATTTTCGTCCCTCTTCTACTTTTCACACACATCTTGTTTTCACTGGATTAAATAATCTTCTCTTTAAGCGATGTTCACCTTTTTGTTACAGAGTTTTCAGATTCCAACTTGGATGTGCTTCAGTAAGAGCAACGTTTTTTGCTTTGTATTCCAGAGAAATATAGTCTGCAGGAGGCTCTACGTAATCGGCTGGATTGTAGTCCTTATCTGCGGTTGGATCGTCTGTCATTATCAAGACATAAAATATAATTTGTAGTCTCTTATACTTATTATATTATATTCACTAAACGGAAGGACAACACAATACCTCATATACTCATTATTCATTATTCATATATTCATTATATAAATCATCATATAAAACTATCATTATATAAAATTAGATATTCTTCTATTATGACAAACCTGTCATTCAGTATATCAATAACAGTTCTGGATATTGTATCTGCCATGACTATTGAGAATAAAGTAATTTAGGTTCTTTAATAAGGTAATTAGGAGGTTCTTTTGTAATCCATGATTCTTATATATACTATTGACATATGACAGAGCATTGGTAAATTCTTTAAAATCTTCATCTATAAAACTTCTAGATTATATGTTATCCACCGTTTCATTTGTTAAAGGTTCTTCTGCCATTGTTACATATTCTTAAAAACTTAATATATTTATCTCTATATAAACCATTCATATGAACCATAACAACAATTAACGCAGACTGCCACTCGCTCTGCGACTTCGAAAAATACTCGTCAAAAAATTTTGTAACGATCGTAGCCATCGTCACCAAAGGAAATAGTTTGGAAAGGAACTTTATAGACTAAATACAGCATTTAACAGAGATTAAAACGTTTTATATACGAAATAAGACTGACGATAAAATATTACTTCGACAGTGTTCCAATATTATTATATTTCTTACAAATATTTCTATGCTCGGTAATTATTGACTATAGGGGAAACAGCTCCAGTGACCTTGACCTTATATGTTGTCAACGTCAGTGCCCTGAGTAACCTTCAAACTTATGAACGGTGGATTTAAAAATAAAATTGCGATCAGGATATGCAGCATTGAATGTGTAGATCAGTTACTTCTTCGTATGACCTAATATGGACTCCAAATTTTCGATAAAGAAACAGCATTATCTTTTCTTTATCGGTTAACATTTTTAAAAAAGAAATTTGAAATTGTAGTTGGAAAAAGAAAAGGAAAAGACAAAAAGTAAGATGCGAGAGAGCACGACTCGTTTTTAAAATATAAAGATCGAGAAGCGTTATCGTGAAGCGCGGGTATGCGCGAGTTTTGACTGAGTACGTGTGATATTACGTCGTGAATGAATAACCGCGTTCGATGCGAGCGAATGAACAACTAGGTTGGGAGCCTAAAAAACATAAACACAGGAGAAAAACAAGAATAACTTTGTTTTTTGTGTCTCGAACTAGACGATATGACCGGCTTAGTTGTTCATTCGCTCGCATCGAATGCGGTTATTCATTCACGACGTAATATCACACGTACTCAGTTAAAACTCACGCATATCTGCGCTTCACGATAACGCTTCTCGATCTTTGTATTTTAAAAACGAGTCGTGCTCTCTCGCATCTTACT